TTTTTATCAACAACACCACATAGATTGGTCTTGGAAATGTTTATGTTGGCGGAGTCACGGCTGTAATTGGAGGATTATGACTAAGCTGACGAAAAATACTCAATTAACGCGGCGTGTCTGTGAGAGCGCCCAAATTTCGGCATCAACAGATTTCAAAGCTAACTCCCTGGAAGATTTCCCCAAAGCACTCAGGTATAAAACGAGAACAGTCGAGAATGCGTTTCTTCTTTAGGAAATCAAGATGGAGGATGTCCCTGAGCAGCGACATATTCAGCAAAATAAGGAAGGCAGCAATTCATAAACACGATCGTTGATTGTTAAAAATAGGTAATCTAAACCGGTACATTCGAATTACACGCACGCAGGTGCCTCCATAGCGTGAAGCGTAACATGAAGAAAGATAAATTCATGATTCAAATGAACAGGTGCTGCCTGGACTTTAAGAAACATAGACCAGGTGCAGCTGTAAAGCGCTCTTCGTAACATTTTCTCATACATGTAATTTAACCAACAACGGTCTCTCAATGGAGCAAATCCTTTGCCACACTCCATGAAGTTACAAAAGAAAACATAAGCCTCTCGTCCACCGATTTGATTTTCTCCTCTCACAGCAAAATAACGCCCCCCCCGCCCTACTCACATGCATGAGTGTACCCAAGGAAAATTTAAAAGGGTTTGTGCTGTGTGGACGTTTATATAAATTTCAACCACAAAAGCACCGTGCGGTGGATACTATTTTGTTTGTACAACTCCGGCAGACCAAACCTGGCGAGAATTTTACAGATGAGAGAGAAATCTTGGTTGTCGCGGGTAGGAATACAAATACCTCTATATTCAAGCACACGATTAATTTCAATGATGAAATGCTGGGAGCACAGCTTGAAAGACAGTGTCTTACAGGAATGGTACGGAAACAGACAGCTTTTCAGTCAATAAGCTGCATCTTCCGAGCGTTTTATATCCTCTCTTCTATCCCTTTTACATCGCTCTTTGTTTTACTCATGCATTCAACCAGATCACTTCTATTGCATTGAGTCGGAAATAATTTGATTCTAAGCCTGAAAAGATCAGATCACAGTCGGCTGGACAAAATATAATGTCATTATTTAGCTACAATAAAGCAACAAGTTGCAAATTGGAAGTATGAACTACGGCCAATATAAGCTGCAACTGTAGCCTTAAACTTCCAAGTGTGAAACTCGTTTGCGTAAAAATCTGAGCCCGATGAGAAACTTCCTTGAAGTGTCCCAGCAACCGATCAATCAAAGCGTAATTATTCGGGGTGTCATAAAAGCACTTCCGACAAAGCTGAAATGTTCTGATAATGTTAACTTGCATTTAGCATTTACAGTCCTGAGTTTCATTTTGTAACAAAGACTTTGAAATAGAGCATCTGTCGAACCGGAGAATTTACACCACAAACGTGTAACAGCGCTTTAAAATTACATGAAAGGAGCACAATGGTTCTTTTAAAGACATCAAAATATATCTTTCCAAGGCCATAACTACAAAGAGCAGACTTCGCCACAGTCAATACGACCACAGAGAAAGGGCACATTTTGTACAAGTTTGACACTAAAGCTCGACTAAGAAAATATCAATTGACCTTAGGCTTACTTCCTTAAAATACAAAATGCAACACTTCATAAAGTAAGAGAATGCATATAGATACTACGGTAATTCATGTGTAAAAGGCTGGAATACATTAAACAATTAATCAAAAACTTAATTCGCGCCGGCCCCGGAAACTTATGGGGGTCCAGGACGACCAATTATGGAAGAGAAAGACAGTGTGTTCGAGCAGCCTGGATCAGCAAAATCCACTTATTAAGCCCGCTCTGTAAATTACTCAAATTCGACATCCCACTTCCAGTGTTACATCAGTACCGGAGCAAAAACTTCATCCAACCATCCTTGCTCTATGATAGGACCAACCGGGCTCTAATTTGATGGGGGATATTGGACATATAAATTAACGAGAAAAGCTCTTGTCCGGGAGGGCATGGGCTGTGTTGGGGTTGGATCATAGAGCAAGGACACATGCCCTCCCGGACAAGAGCTTTTCTCGTTAATTTATATATCCAATATCCCCCTCCCAAATTAGAGTCCGGGTATTCCTATTGCTATACACAAAGACTACAACGGCCAGAAGCACTAGCCTGGAAATCTCTGTCAAGCCCCTGCGCATGCCGTAAACGGGTTCCCTGCCCATTAACGGAGTCCTCGAAGAGCTCTGCAAAATGGTCAAGCATTTGTGCAGCATCACAGAGCCCAACTTCATGTATTTCATCCTCAGGAAAAAGAGGCTCTTCAAACAAACAATCTCAGCCACAGATCGATCGTAAAAAAAAATATACCATCTTAATTAAGACTTCAAGCAGAATAACAGGTCCGTCCTTTAGACAGGTCCCAGATATTTATACGTTATCCCCTCCGACCCTCTGAGACAAGAGTAAAAACATCATGTTATCAACGGTATCTCTCTGTCTTGCAACCTGGTCTTAAATCGCCAATCTGCCCTTCAGTGGGCCCTCTGGGTAACAGCTATTCTAGATCTTTCCACCATGTGTGCATGATTACACTCATTTGCCACCAACTTGTAGGGTATGCCTTACAATTCCATTTTTTTTTTGAGAATTTCGCTTTTGCTGGTCATCATCTAAATTCATTCTCCATCACTTTTAAAGACAAAATTAAAGAGTTCAATGATTGCACTGCTGTGCTAAACCTCAATTTTGGAGTGTCGGTATTATTGTCTTATATAAATAGTTAAGATATTTGAATTCCTCTTTAAAATGTACACGCTTGAAAACTCAAAAAGGTAAAACACATCAAAAAATCGGAATTCCAAGCTGTGTGTAATTTCAATCCAAGCTACAGTTAAAAATGGAGGTTTTCCAGAGGAATGGCATGATTATTTCTTTTAAACTAATCACCCTAATTTGTATCAACCGTATCGGTTTGGGTAAAGCTGTATGAACCAACGATGTGCTAAAAGTAACCTCTTAATTGGCTTTTCTGATGAAGAGATGGCTGTAGTAATGCCCCTTTTAACAAGCAGTGCACTTCCTAGCTGCAGGACGCTAGACATTAGCCTCCCACTGTATAAGGTCTCCAATATCTACAGGAACCAGGACGATAGACAAGACCAGGATACAGGCCGGGAATATGATTAGCCTCGGGGTAGAACATGTGGAAAAGTCTCCCCATCAAAAATACCACACGGTTTAAAATGAACGGACAACTTGGAGGCGGTCAAACGCATTTTTTACTGCCTGTTGCAAGGCAGGTCCGGACGTCAAGTTCAGAGAGACACAGAGAAACCACGATTTGTTCCCTTGGTGGGACTGCGCATGCTAGGCGACGATGAGAAATTCCCTGTTGTGATGAAAAGGAAATTTACAGGAAATCTCAAAGGAAGTTCCAGCCCAACGGACAATTGGTTTTCTGTGAAAGTGCTTCGTTGCTGGGTATTATTTAATAGATGTGTCAAACATGGATATGTAATTTTCCTGTGGTCTTCGAATTGTCTCTAAAGTAATTAATATTGCATCTTAGGGTAACACCCAATACAGCTTAAATTCGACGGATACAGCTCGCCGTAGCAACGTCAACATGTGCAGCATAGTGTAGATTATTACACATAAACTGCTTTACTTAGATTTCCCCTGGGATGAGAAAATAAAGTGCCCGACTGCGATTTCGAAATCATCAAATAAATGGCATCATTCCTCTGATGAGCGTTTTCTTCATCGGTTATTTATAATATCGGCCTCCCTGGGACAGATTTCAAGAGGGCTGGTGTTTAAATTTGGAATGATGGATTGCTTCTAAACACCCAAATACCATTCATAATTGAGGGTCATTGCCATGCACCAAAACCATCCATCGTCATTGGTGACGTGATGTGACATATTGCAGAGTACCACTCATGAATATTCATAGCTGAACCTGACAAAATTTTTGTGAGCAGATGAATTCTTTTTCCGCCGAAACATCAAGGAAAAATATTCCCATAACCTAACTATTAACATCGCATTCGGTGCACGGAGCATGCAATTAACCGGATCAGAGCAATACCCGGCAGTCAACGTGCAGAGATGCGAGTCGATCGTGTGAATGTACCGTAAGAGATACGTCAAATTTAACTTCTGCCATCTGATCTGGTTTAGCTTTCAGAACCAATTAGCATTCGATCGCAACAGAAGGTTCACGGTCGTTCATCTAAAGATGCCACGTTCTGCTGCTCGTGATGAGGCACACTCTACATTTCATAAAGCATGTTACCAACGTTACTACAGTCCTCCTCTCATCAACATCACCTTTACACAGTTTGAATTTTGTCTCGGTACCGCCACAGAGTTGTTAATGTTAATCATGAGAGTATCATTTCGAGTTCTCTGAACAACGAGTTCGGATCGTGCCATGACAGCAGTTACAATGGTCATTAATTTCGCTCTCATTTTCAGACTCTCCGTTCTCGCCATCTTCATATCGTACTCAGTAATCGCAGTGCTCTGCTCTCAGAAAGATCACCATGACTAGTCACACATGATCACGATGATCCTCACGGCAGTTTTCTGTCTATGCATCTCCAACATCATCCTTACTCGGCCGCCATCATACCGCCACCACTTTCATCTACGTTATCTTCTAATTATCTTCGCCATTGTGAAGTTTGGTGGTGTGTGCATGGGTGATATTCCTCAGTACCAGCTGTACCTTTGCACAACTCCAAGCTGTTTCAGAAAACTCGAAAACCCATAATAGGTGTCTTTCTAGCATGACAAATCAACTATATTCGCTGAAGTGATATCAAAGATGAAGCATGGGGTTACTTAAAGTACTGTGTTCACAGGCAAATTATGGTGCCCCTGACATGAACATGGACTCCAGCGTCCAGTGAAGCAGCAAAGAATTGTAACACAACCTGAAACATTATATCATGTAAGCATGCCCAACGACTGCGCACTGTAAAATGGGATACTGCATGTACTTACTCTGACATTCTGTGATGCGTGCCACTCCTACGAGGAATATCAGCGGATGCAGCAGGTGCAGGTCCATGGTGAACAAAAAAATGCAGGGAGTCGGGTTCAGTGCCAACTAGAGTCCAGCAAGCAGTATGCGTGTGGGAACTATCTGCGCACAAGACCTTCACCCGGCCAACTCGACGATCTCAATGGTATTTTGGCTTCAGTTCCTCGGCACTGTCTGTGCTGGTTTTGTTCTGCTGAAGCCATCCATACCAACAGCTGCTCGCAATGGCTGGCACTGGGAATGGGATGATGATATTTATAAACTGTTACCAATCTGCCCACGTGACAAGCTCTTTTTCCATTCCCCGGGCTCGGTCACGGTCGGAGCAACTCCTCAGTCAACCGTGACAAATTTACATTTTCACGCACGGGAAAATTTGGAGGCACAGCTATTTATCCAACCCGGTCCGGCATTCCTACTACCCCAGCAACGCCCAAGGAATTGGAATGGGCAATCCCTAGGAAGAGCGCCTACGGCCGAACCGCTACTTGGTCGAGCAGTCCTGTTTTGAATTTCCGAGACTGGTAATGAACGCTGTCCCTGGAGCGTTCTCCTCTGAAATAGATTTATGGAACGCAGAGGCTGCTAGTCGCTACATATATGAGGCCATGCTCGAGGCCTCATTTACCATTAGTTCATTTTTTATTTCACGGCGGTGAATGCGGCATCATCGGGCTATATGCTTGCGGTGCCCTTTGCTAACCGCGCCAGCTGCGTGCCGAGGATTCCCTGGGCTTGTAAACTCCGCACTCGCGCTTTGACAAGGCTGATTTATACGTCTGTCCGCCGGAAGCATTACGCATTATACATCACGGTTTTACCAGCTCCCCAAATTTAAGTTCAGATACCCAGCGTTTCTTCAGCCAATCTCGATTAGCTTTTCCATCGGAATAGGTTTGAAAGCAATCAAACTGACAGCAAACTTGATAGCTAGCAAATTTCCAATGTAACAATTTGACAACGTCATTATTGCCCAAACTGACTGCATGGGGTTCTTCAGCTTTTCTTATTGATAAACAAGTGAAACCTTTGGACGCAAACTTCTCACACCGAGTAGGCCTATATTGAACATCTATAGGGTCCCTGAAAGGAAAGAAAAATGACAGCCAAAAAAATTCTTTTTAAGATTTATATTGTAACCCAATCATAACAAACCCTCGAAAGGTGTTTTCATAATGCCAATGTCTTGTTTGTTTTGGTAGAAGGAGTCCAATGCCACAGCGCGTATTATTGATGAATGTGTTAGGTTCCCCGTGTTCAGCGAAGGTCATCACCGGCGAATGACAGATCACACCGTCATGCTCTCTCATCAAGACTGCACATGGTGTGTGTCGAGAGCGGTCCCCAATGCAAGACCGTGGTACCAGAGGGTGTCTTGCGCGGCTTTCACGTGGGAGCTCAACCTGTGCACACGGCAGGAGGATCGGAAACGAGCGCAGATTACGCGCGCATGTTGAGTGAATTTGACTTAGGACGAGCAGTGATGACCGCGAGTGGTGGTCACCTTGCATAACTTCTTCATGATTGAAAAAAGTAGTTCGAAGACAAGGTGTTGAAAGGGTTACGTAGGGTTTAATTCATAGATGTAAACCGTAAGCCCAAGACCTCTCCAGCAAGAGAGTGCAGCAACAAACAAATAACGAGAAAAATGCTTTAGGTTAAAATTTTAGAGAAATGGTATTCGGAGGAATTTTTCATCGGGGCAGAAATGTCTAATCCCGACTTTCATGATGGAAGATTAGTCTGAAAAACGATGTGCCGTTTCGAAAGAAAGTTCGCGTGCGTGCCAAGGTCCGTGGGTGGATTAATTTCCACGAAAGTATTTATTGTGAAACTCTTTCTTCAAACTCAAGAAGTTTAATGATTCGTCCTGCCAGGGGTGAGGTCGTTAAACATCGAGTCGGTGAAGGGTATATGGCACATCCTTGACTGACACGATTATTTTGTACGCATGTCGACGTGTACGCATGACTGAAAAGCCCAATTGGTTACCACGGCATTTTGACCTCCAAAAACTAGCCTGCCCGCTCGTGAATCACTCCCTTTGGGGCTTATACACATGTTTTAAATTACTCGGTCTAATATGTTTCACGCTGTGATTTGTCAATGTTGTTGATATGACAACCGGTAGACTAGATGTACAGTAAATTGCGGCCACCGTATTGAATTTCCACATACTGGTGACCTAGTCCACAGTTTCTATCAAGTGTTATTTTGACTGGATTTTCTGCACAAATGATAACTGAAGTTAGAGTTAGTAATGTTATTATTCGCCATGCGCTCGCTTCGCGTTAGCCCACTATGATGATATCACCTCTGCATCTCTACAAATCACGTTATATATGTCAACTACATGGTCCGTATATCCATCACTTGCACGACAATGACCGCCTTCGATAAGTCTTCGACCTGCGGTGAATTTGCATGCTATTGGCATAAACAGGAGAGTGGCACAATATGAGTTCGTAAAATGAAATGAAAAGAACCGTTGCTCACCGTGTGCTCCAACTCACATTCGCCCACATCTGATCTCGCCTTGTGTGCCGTATATCGCGTGTGCTCTTTCCAAATGTGAAGTCGTTTGCTGTTCCGTTTGGTTTTCAACTATGCATGTACATCTCCGATATGCATGACAAGGTTACACGAGGTGATGTTATTTCCACCGATTCCTTAATGTGTTTTAGGGATGTGTTTGGCATGCAGTCATGAAAACTGACCCAGTGTAGGTCAATGTACATTCGAGGTTGTACACTGGATACATTTTTCATCAGCCACAACAAAGCTTGTGTCTACAACCAAATTTTCGAGGGCTCGGAAGACGAAAACGAAGGCGATTTCTTCACGTAGTTTCCGTGGAATTTCTGAATTTCTGTTTTGCACAATTGTAGGCAACAAGAGTGAAACAACACCGAAAGGTCGTCTTTCTCCTTTTTATTTCAAAAAGCCTATTGGAGGGGCCGTGCCCCACTGATTTAAGTTCGCGGACCTGCCAGTGGCCCAGAAACAAACAAAAAAAACCTTCACAAGGCGACAGAAAGCGTTCACCTATAACTGTGCTGGTTGAAATAACATCCGTTACAAGTAAATTATTTTAACCACTTTCCGTCTTGATGAATTTATCCGTCAGTATTGCTCGTGCACTGTAACTGTTTCTTCTGACGACCCAAGAATGCTCCAAATTACTGAACGTTTCATGTGCACAACCGTACGCACCGCCGTTCGTCATCGTCTGAAGTCGGCCCACTTCGAATGCCGCTGTCAAATTGTGAACTTTACACGGAACACTGAGCGAAGCCGCGAATCAGAGACAGATCCATCCCAATGTTTTCCACGTGACGAATGGAAGGGTGATGAATGACTCGCTGACGCAGCAGGGATTATGTTTTCATATACCAAGAAAGCCATTTCCTTTTTCGCGGCAATCTGGCGGGGTGTAGTATTTCTTACCACAATTATGGCCAGCCGATCAGAGCGGGGGAGGCTAGCATCGCCGTCGCGAAATGACGCGACGGTACGGGCACAGGCGGGGTTTATCCGTCTGACTCGTGGGGCCCCCACCTCCTGGAGGATTCCTCATCAGAATCTCCGTACAGAACTGAAGAGGATATTGGATATCGCCAGGTATACGAAGTCACATAGAAAAAGTAAATTAGAATTGTCACTTTTAACATCAGGCGTAATGGCCGAGTGTACATTTGGACGTAAGTTCGTACCAATCTGCTTGGCTTGTTTTCATAAAATCCCTTTCTTCTTTTGATATTACGAGCAACATCCGTACGCGTACACCAACACGCACAGTTTTAGTGAATGGGGGCCTATATCGTAAAATCATGAAAAGTGATCCAAGAATTTGCTCCAACATTGATAATGAAGTAATTTATGCACGAGAAGTCAGCACATGCCCAGTTCTGAAAGGCTTATTTTCGTGACGAAAATGGTCTCTTCTGTAGTATGACTTATACAATTTTGCATCTTCAATCCTCGTCTCCCGATGAGCCCGCTTTAAATGTCAGTGATTTATTCCGCTTTCAGCGGCACAAAATGGCGGTGGAAATACGCAGTCGGTGAAGCCTACATCTGGAGGTAACATAAGCTGACTGTAATTCACTGCATGACTGCGCCAGACAGTCTGGTGCCTGATTCGAATGTCCGAGTGCTGATTTTGTTTCAGCTGACACACTATGTACATCATCATGGGGGCTGGGTCTTGCACTGAACTAACGAGTCTCATTTTAGAAATCGAGGTACAATGATAAAGGTGGTTTGTCACAGTCTTTGGCCTTTCCCCACCTGAGTTTCACACCCGTATTTATGCAATTTTCGAAGTAAGTCTGGTGCTATGCGATAAGGGGCACGAACACATCTATCGGAATTCATTTATTGTTGAAGACCGTCAATGCCTTTTGTTTCCTGTCTTGACGTGACATGTTCCGTGATGAACTAATTTGATTTTATTTGTCATTACCCCGTAAACTCACTGAGGTCATGACATGTCCGGTTCCCCCATTACACGTACTCATGGGCCCTCTCAGAATGCAGCCAGGGGCCATGCGAAATTTCACAAAGGTGTTGGGAAACGTTATGACTTGACCAGCCGTTGGGTCAATTGAATTACGACTCAAATCAGCTTTTGTTGTGAACAAAATCCCAGTAGATTATGTCGCACCTGCATTTTTGATTTAGTCTCCTATAGCTCTTGCGAAAGTTTGCATGCAAAGAAAATTGAACTCCCTGGAACAACGGTCATTCCGAGATCACTCTGGCGTACTAGACACCTCAAAGCCCTTATCACAAAACCATCCTTCAGGTTACAGCAAGTCTTGAATCATTGATGAGAGTGTGGACAGCGCATAGGGCACTGAGAAAAGTCGATGCAAAGAAAAATTACACTGCACTCATCGACACTGTAATGTAAGTGGTCAAGTAAATCGAAAACAAGGAGGGCGCTCTTCACTTTGAACAAACCAACATTCGGCAAAGGGCGGGCATGCAGTAACATGTGATGGATGGCCACGATCATACACTATTCCCAACTGTGGACGTGTGCCTAGAGGCCTCTATGTTCATCTGGGGCTCGCGGGTTTCAAAATTTCGGTACTAGGAAAATTTCGGCTAAACCTAAAATCATCGATCCGGGATATGAATGAATGAGCAAGCAAACTGCCTTGGAAGTAGCTATTCCAAACTGTTCTCACCGGACCAGAAACATAAAATCATCTGACTAAAATTTCTATTTTTGATCATAGATACAAGCTCTACCGGTAGCCTATGATTTTATGCAACCAGTGTTATGCTTCAAAATATGTTAGCTAGGCATTGCGACAAGGGCATATAGGTGGGGTGCGGAGGCACCCCTCAACAGAAGGGAGTTCCGCTTAAGGTGTTCATAATTTTTATTTTTTAAACCACACAGCAGTACGTTATTTTATTAAGGTGAAAGTACGTGGGTTTTTGATACCCGATGACCGAAAAGTAAAATAGCAAATACATGTATCTGGGGCAATCTGCTTTTCACGCGCGCACTTACCTTCCTCGTTTAAATGCTGGAAGTTGGCGTTCTGTTTTCTTTAAAATTTCACCCCCCCCCAAGCCAAACCAGCTTACACTCCTGTGCGACGTAATAATATGCCCATGGCATGACATAGAATCATACAACATTTTACCTCGCCCTGAGGTGGACTCCTTTAACGGCGTTCAATCTGGGCCACCATTTAACCTACGAAGTACCTGCATGCCTGCACAACAATAAACTTTGCTTGAAGAGTAGCTAACTGAAGTTCAGTTGTACGGTTCCAAAAACACTTCTGAATAACAAAACTTACGTTTCACACTGTCATATACCCAAATCCATCTGTGCATCGGAGAAGTAAGTCACTCAGTAGTCATATTCATAGCAACTCATGAACAATACCACCACGATACAGCAACTAGTAGTCGACTGCATGCAGTCCGTGGACCCGTCGCGCTAAGCTCAGTTTACGCATAGCGCGCTAGATGCCGATCAAGGAAAATTGCTGACGGCACAGCTGCGCAGACGATAATCAACGCAAAATCTCATTGGCTGAAAAAGTCTGTTGTTGTTGGCATTGTTTATGCTAAATCCCGTTGCATTCGATTTTACGGAATGCTTGAGGTGACACTTCATACCGCTACAATTCATTCGCTTAAAAAAAATTACCGAACGAAATTTTTTTTAGAAACTTAATATACAAAATGTTTTGCGTCTCGACCCACTTGTCTTTTTTTGGAGACCGCCCAGATTTATTGTCATTTTATAATTGTTGCTACAAGGGACAAGCAGATACTCATTTGAAATAAACGACTTTTTTTCCCCAGGTGTTGATAAGCTGATATGCAGGCTGTCTTTGTTAAGTCCTTAAGTCCTACGTGTAGAATTCATGAGACTAAATTTGCATTTTCATTTTACACGTACCATCGCATCGTGACCCTGAATCCAACTTAGGAAATTAGTCCCCTCCCCCGGCCATGCCGATTGGGATTAATGCTTTGATATTCATGCCGAAGAAAACTAAGACTTTTATAATGACAACAAAAGAATCACCCTAACGATTTTATTTATCTAGAAATAATCCATGTAAATAACCTGTACCATTTGCGAGTGTATTGTACAAATTCCCAACTTCATTTTCTGGCCAGACGTAGACGAGGTGGTCATTAGTAAACTTCAACAAGTCAAATGTGCACCAAGAAAAAGAAAAAATAGGCCTAGTCGTCAGCTTAGTCAAGTCTAATTTCCGGCGTAGTTTCTAGTTGATCGCGCTACTGCACGCTGGCGAAGTCTCGCTGTGACTTCTGTCTTTTCATTTTCGAGAAGCCACGGCCATCAGAATTTTAATCATGGGGATTTTAGAGAAGATAGCAGAGGTTGAAAAAGAAATCGGCAGGACCCAGAAGAATAAAGGTAGGATTGGGCACGCTGCCATGCCTCGTGATGTCGTTTTGGCTGCGTGTGCTCAGCTCCGTAGTGTTTACCATTTGCGAGAGCACTGCATCAATTTCGTGAAAATGTGCCGTCATAAGAAAATTATTAAATTATGAAGCTGTGAGTTTGACGCCCATTTTTAAATTTTTAAATCCAAATCGTTGACTACGGCTGCGATCAATACACAAGACATGGAAATTGGCTACAGCCACTTTCCGTACATGTGTGCAATTCTTAGCCAGGCTGGTTGAAATGGCAGTTGGCTGCGGCGCACTGGGGGTCACACTGACCAATCACCGACAAAGCCAGTACACGTGAGCATCTGATTCTCCCAGTTGGCATTCTAAGACTTGCTGTTTCATGTAGGTCAATTAATCAGGCTAACAAGTTAACTCTGTTAAAGGTAGGTTAACATTTAAGTTTCAACTACATGTACATACAGAGAGTGGCAATTGTTTCCAGATCTTTGAACAAAAAAATATTGTCAATGTTGAGGATAGCCTATTGGTTTTGACGAAGTTGATAACATTGAAATGATCTTCACAACAGTTGTACACATGTACTTCATTTTTTTCCTTTTCATTTTATTTTTATTTTAGCCACTGAGTACCATCTGGGTCTGCTGAAGGCAAAACTTGCCAAGTATCGGTCACAGTTGATTGAACCAACCACCAAAAGCGGAGCTAAGGTAAGCACTTTGCACCAACCTTTCTTCCTTATGCAAGATTCTTGATCTTTGATCGTACTTGGACAAAAACTGACCCATAATTTGAACTTGAAACTCCTTTGCCAAATATGCTGGAGTACTGGTTTTTTTTATAAACTTAAATGCAAATGACACCATTTTGAATTCCATGATGTACATGTATTATTTGCTGGGAGGATCTACTCAGTTATACCAGAATTCCTTGTAAGAGTAACACCTGTACATAGGGACGCTTGTGGGTTAAATCCAGGCCAAACATGGATCAGCAAAGGCCAAAAGATATTTGTGCTTCCTGTTTTTCTACCTACCCAATTTTGACAGTGCAGCCCTTAAGTCTTGTTTTGGGGAATTTGGGGGAAAATGTAAAATTGAAAACAAAAAAAGAAAAAAAATGTGTCTATTTTAGTTGAAATATGGTGTAAAAAGGTTCATTGGATAAGTGACTAGTACCCTTTAAACTTGGTTGTTCATTTCATTTTGAAATGAATGCCACCTGACCTCTGTTGCCAACCCAATATTTACACATTGACATTGTCTGTGTCTGCTAGGGAGAAGGATTTGATGTGATGAAATCTGGAGATGCCAGGGTTGCACTTATTGGCTTCCCATCCGTTGGCAAGGCAAGTGCTAGTTTGCGTGTACTTTTATGCGGTCATTTATCAATAAAATGGGGTTTTTTTTGCATTATTTTAGACAAAGCAAGACAAGAGAAAAGGAAGAAAACTTTTGAAAACATTTCTGACGTGCATTTGTAGTGTCTTTTGGGGTTTCTTTCCTTTTGTAAGACACTTTACCTTAATATTGATTTGACTATAAAATAAACCATTTCTAAGTTAAGTAATAGGTTTGCGGTTACACCATGCAAAATATATAGTTTGTATGTGTGTTTTTCAAAAGAAGCAGAGGGTACCTGACAGTTCTGACAATATGCTATGTCTGTCATCATTTTTATCCGGAATATAAAATAAGATTTATCATTACCCCACAACCTGTAAAACTGACACAGTGTGCTTACGTAGTGCTTCTTAAAGAGTTTGCACTTCAGTTGTACTTTGTCTTTTAGCCTTTCTGACCATTTATTGTGTGTATTTACAATCTTGTTTACTGCAGTCCACTCTTTTGAACACACTAACCAGGACACACAGCGAGTCTGCAGCCTATGCCTTCACCACATTGACCTGCATACCAGGGGTCGTTGAGGTGAGTTCAGGATCCCAGGTGGTTCTTTAGGCAGGACCTCATGGGTCGGTCAATTGACCATGGGCACAAACTTTTTCGTGCCTACCCCCACTAGGGAAATCTTTGCCCCCAATTTGGTTCTCATGTGTAGCCCACAGCACCCTCAAGTTTTAAGTGCTTGAATTGGCTGGAATGTCGCTCATTACTGTCTTGTTTTGTTTCTGATTCTAGTACAATGGAGCCAACATCCAGCTGCTGGATCTGCCAGGAATTATTGAAGGAGCTTCACAGGGTGAATCAAGAGTTTTATCTGGGTACCAGGGTATCCTGGTTTCTAGGAGGGGGGAGGCAACATGGGACCCTGTCTCATCCATGAAAGAACCTTTCCTCCTCCAAAGAAAGGTGCTGTAGTGGCATAGACTAAGGTCTTGCTGCTTTCAATTCCTATTGTTTCAGACTGGTGCTTGTTTGAATAAACTTGTCAATGTGCCATTCGGAATCAAGAAATGTTTCTGCTTTTTTTTCATGAGTCTGCATCGCATTGTAGTTAGTGAACTTTTGGGCATGGTCTTCCAACTCATGGCTTTTATGTTGCCACCCAGAAGATTAAGGTGAAGGGCTTCATGTGAGGTCATGACCTATCGTCCACCTGAACTCACAGCTGATCGGTTACCATGCATCCCTGTTGTTTTGTCTGTAGCTGAGTAGGTCTCAACAGTTTTCTGCTGTTTTCCAACAGGCAAGGGGAGGGGTCGTCAAGTCATCGCCGTGGCCAGGACAGCTGACGTGGTCATTATGATGTTAGATGCTAACAAAGGAGATGTCCAAAGGTTGGTCAGTCGGCCGGTATTCTTGATTATTAGTTTGCATGAGATGTTCAATGTCCAATACCACATGGCCAGCGGACAGATCTGTGGTGATTTTTGGTTGCATTTTGATTGATATTTTCTCTATTTTTCTTCAGAGAACTGTTGACAAAAGAGCTGGAAAGTGTTGGCCTGAGATTAAACAAACCCAAACCAAATATATACTTCAAGGTAAGATAGGATTTTAACCCTGATCCGGAAGGATACCGACGAAATGCGTCACAAGGTTTTGGAGAATTGGACGGGATGTATTGGAAGGGAAAAAAAAACTGAGTTGTAGTTATTAAACACGCGGCTTGATGATACCCTGTGAGAGTTACATTAAGCAGAATTTGCCTTTCAACCTGGGAACGTTGGTTTCCAGATGCGTGGAGCGGTTGACTGAATGTCTCTAGCTTCTTAGAAACTTGTGAGTTTCTCTTTGTATGCATTCTTTACTACGAGTCAGTATAGAAACGTAAACAGTAAACCTCAAAGTAAAATGTCCGCATGTGATGGGATCCCACGAAGTGAGGATTAAGGATTTTATTTCAGTAATTTGGTTTCAGAGTTGAGAGAGCTAGCATCCTGGTGAAAATGGACATTGGATTTACACTGGATTTACACTGGATTTACACTGGATTTACACTGGATTTACACTGGATTATTTTGGACGCCTTAATTTCAAAAGTGACTCAACTCAAAAGAAGTGGCTTGCAGCGACCTCAGCCATTCAAAAGATGCCATAGAATAAGCAGTACTGAGAAACATTTTTTTTTCCTCTCCACTTTGGTCTTAGATAAAAAAAGCTGGGGGCTTGTCCTTCAACTCCACACTAACGCTCACCCGGTGCAACGAGAAACTCGTCCAGATGATCCTACACGAATACAGTATCCTATCCCTACACTGCCAAATGTGGCCAGAGATACACCTCATCACATGACTCTACCAGTTGGAAATGATTTTATGTTTTATAGATTTACTCGTATGAAACTCTTAAACTGATGGAGAAAGAAACCTGGAATCTATGTACCATTCTTCCAACAGCAAGGCAGGTTCTTTGATTGACATCAGTTTGATTGTCATTAATTTGCATTGCTCTCGGATAGTTCCCTTTATTACCAATGCCTACTCGGAAAACACAACATAAAGAGAAAGCTACACAAATTGTATCTCTGTTGATGAGATGCTGGAGTCCTATCCACCCTGTGTAGGAGTGTTTGCACCCCTCTTAAAGTAAAGAGAGGCTGTTGGGGACCGTCTCTGGACACTAGACACCCAGTGCATAGGTGAAGACTATACATTCCAGCAGAAAGTTAGATGCATGTGCTCAGCATGCCCCTTGCCAAATGTGCATGAGCCTTCAATGAGGGTGGATCCGGAGGGGGGGGCCAATTGGGGGCCATGCCCCCCCCCCAAAAAAAACGATGAGCAAATTTTTTACATCAGAGAGTTAACGCATTAAGTGTCTTAAATGGAGGTGGTTTTGTATGGAAAGAGCCATTTTCTTCAAGAAACTGTTTGAGCAACTGCTTAATTGTGACTGGTGCAATCATTTAATGGAAAAGTGCACCAGGGGGCACTGTTTACTTGTTTGCCTCCCCCCCGAAAAACTTTGGGACTGGATCCGCCCTTGGCCTGCACACACCAGTATTGTAGTCGAGACCATCACAAGACCAGACTCAAGACAATGCACGAGACTATTCACAAGACCATTCACAAGTGACAGTGTGAACAATGGCTAAGGAATGCTTTTGTTGCAGTTCATTTGAAGCGCTTTTGGCTTGAATTCAGACTGGAGGTCTTGTGTTGGTCAAGTGTTGGTCTCGTGTGGTCTTGCGATTGTCTTAAGCGGTCTCGACTGCAACACTGGTACACACACACACCTAAGGGAGACTGCTGCTGTGCGATAGCACATCATCTTTCTTTCATGCTTGAAGCGGATATCCTGACAAAGTCTTGGCAGTTTTTAAGGCCATTCAAACAATCCACTAGCACAGTTATAAATCTTTGCACGAGGCTTTTCCTTAGTCTTGCCTCCAGAAATTTTCAATGCCGAGGTTCTGTTCAGGGAAGATTGCACGCCTGATGAGTTCATCGATGTCGTTGTAGGCAACAGGATATACCTGCCTTGTATATATGTAAGTAAGAAAACAGTTCTGTTTGTGTGCTTTAAAATCAAACTATCAGTGTTACACGTGTCTGCAGTGAAGCGGGACCTGTTAACTTCCTAGAACTCTCAAAATTTATCAGGATGCTTTTGACAGAGCTGGAAGGTATAACCAACAGACAGATGCCCCTGTAATTTTTACTGTGTGAAGAATGAACCAGTAGATTCTTCTGTAGTACTGGATTTTGGAGGATTGGAGAAGGTTCCAAGTGAAAAGTCCCAGCGTGTAAAGATTTTATAAATACATGTAAATGTATCAGACTTGGGTCTGCGTTCAAGGCCTAGAAATGCACAGGTAGTCTCCTGCAGTGTAGTGAAGTCCATCACAAGTCCCTTCAAGTCTTCCACTTGTCATCTGGTCGCAAGTCACAAACTGTTCAAGTGAACTGCGGCAAAAGCTTTCCTTCGTGATCTTGTTACTCATAACTCGTGACTGGACTTGTGACTAGACTCCATTCCTACCCTGAAATTCTGGAACCTTGTTTTCCCGAACCCCGATGTTGCACAGGTGTATAACAAGATCGATCAGACCTCCATTGAGGAGGTGGACCGGATCGCCCATCAGCCTCACAGCGTGGTCATCAGCTGTGAGATGAAACTCAACCTGGACTATCTGCTGGAAAAAGTCTGGGAATATCTCAGCCTCATCTGCATCTACACCAAGAGGAGAGGAGGTGAGTCGTTACTGTGTGATAAGAGTTGTGCCGAATAGTCTAAGAGTCAAATATCCCCAGGCACTAGGCATATAGAAGTTGTAACAGGGCAGCCATTTTTTCCAGTAAGAGTTTTTGTCCCTCGTGACCCACAGGGATACACATGAGCAGTCCGTCTGTGCTATCCGTTCATAACAAAAGCAGTTAATAGAAAGATGGCACCCGTGCGCAACCTCTGTTGTTAGCTAACGTCAGGTAAACAAAAACTTATTTTTCACCATTGGGGTCATTTAGAGAGCTTTCCAAAATCCAGTTCTTAACAATCATGGTGTTACGCACTCCTTGACAAAGTGCAGCTGTTTTGTTTGTTCAAAGTCAAATCACTGGGACCTTTCTGAGGATAGTGTGGATGAGCAATATGTAATTTGGGGCTTTTTTGCCCTGCCCGGCGTATATTGTAACTCCGTATACTCACTGTTTCCCCAGGATGCTTGTGAAAAAAAAAACCATATGTACACGGGTGAGACTCGAACCCATGACTTCCTGCCGATCCCTGCAAGCTCGGTGGTCTCCCAGATGCAAACCCATCCTTAGAAATAGATGAGCAATGTGTCCTTCATAACACTCTTCTGAGGCAGGGCAGTGTGCTGAGAAAGTTGCAATATCTTCATATTAGCGGCCATCTTGTCTCCGTAGGCTTCCAAGAAAGTGCCCTCCATTTTGGCATATTGGGTGTGTGTTTACACAGCAATCAACCAGCCGCCCAACGTGATGTGTCCTTTGCCATTTGTAGCCCTTCCACAGAAGGCAATCATTTCAGAAACAAAATGGCACCATTAACAAACTCACGTCACAACTTTCCCTGTGATATACACCTCCGTTCTAAGGCTGCGTAGAACTCCCTGTCTTTGCACTTTCTATCAGACCATGAACCACTTGCCAAAGTTTAAACATTCATGAGAACTCTGGACTTGGCTTAAGCCTACCTGATTTCGTGGGTTGTACCCAGAATATGCCTCTGTAGTCTTCCTCCCACCTCTAAAACTGTAACTGCTTCTCACTGTATCCTCTCGACAGGTTTCTTCAGGCTTGCGAGCTCCAGTGCCTGGGGTGCTTTTTAGGAACCCTTTGGTGTCATTACCAAAAATAAATTATACTAATAACAGTCTGTGGTGGTTGACCAGGGACCAAGCTCATGGCAGTACTTTACAGCTAGCAGAAAGTCATGTTTACTATGGCACCAAATTAAACTGTACTTTTTCGTGGCCTTGCTCAGCGTGGTTGTGCTGACAGTTGATTTCCATTGGTTGTGCTCACTTGCGTCTCCAATAAATACGTCAAACTTCTGTTCGTGTCAAATTGTGTACTAAGTGGCACTGTGAAATTGGGCCTAAGACTTCACATTCCTGACTTGTACTCTTCCTCTCTCTGCTGCACTTTGCATCGGCATAGATTTTCTTTTTAAAAAAGTGTTTCCCCCCCCCCTGTTTTCAGAGAGGCCAGATTTTGAAAGTGGAATCATCATGAGAAGAGGATGCACAGTTGAACATGTCGTAAGTGAGCACTCTTTCATGTCCACAATGAATTCTCCCCAGCAACACAACCTCTGTACAATCCTGCTCAACAGTGGAACACTGCTGTGACCAACGCTATACCGAACATTCGGGAACATCAAACATCCCTCTCATCCCCTGAATTTTCTGTGCACTTTTACCAAACATTACAAAGATATTTAAACAAAAAAAAAGATATCTAGAAGTCATGGTTGTAACGTAAAGTTTAAGAAAAATCTCACGATGGAACGACAGCCAACACATGGTGTGGTCTTTTTCATTCTTTGGTAGCCCACATAGCGTGTAATAAACGTAATGTGATTTCTGGTGGGATTTGTAGAAGTCACTGGCAGTGGAGCAACACTACCAGACAGCCATAACAAACTGTGGCACAGCTTGAATATTAGGTGGGAAAGGGAAAGCTGCATGCATGGTTGTTGTTTTCTGATCATTGTGACTGAGCGAGTAGGTCAAGACTTGTGGGGCAAACTAGTCAGTTTTCTGGTTTGCACCTCCTGTTTATTTCTGCAGTTATTCCCGACTGATTTTTTTTTTTCCCCAACTGCAGTGCCATGCTATACACAGAACTCTGGTCAGCAACTTCAAGTACGCTCTCGTTTGGGTAGGTTATTGTGACGCCCCCGGCAAGCGTTTTCAAGATGTGCTCTAAAATGATATCCTTCCTTAGATGCTGGAAAAAGATAAAAAACGGTTTCAAGACTGTGCGGATCGAATATTAGCTCATCAAATGTTGGTCCGCAACTCTACTGTTGAAAAAACCTGAAAAGAATTCTGTTAATTGAGATCAACATATCAAAATCCATTGAAGTTCGAAGCTGCCGTGATGATGTACAGGCTTACTCAAGTATAGTCCCACACCTGCCGTCTCTGGTACCCATGTACTCTTCAGGTGGACAGAAACATTCTACGATAGTCTGCCCTGTCCAAGCACTACCAAAGCCACTGGCTGGACTCGAACCCACCACCTCAAGAATGACCCACGAGATCTTCATTACGCTGATACTCATGAAGATCTCAATGGCCAAGCACTCCATTTTAGCATTCACTGAAGGAACCACAAAACAATTTGGGAAGAGTGTGTTTGCATGTAGAGCAGCGACATCCGCAGTGGCCTTCAAATGGTTCTCTTTGGGGACGGTGAGGTTATGTTATAATGTAATCAGAACTCACCATACGGTGACTCCAGATTCACTCTCTTTTTTTTTTTTTTTTACCTTTTGACAGGGCTGCAGTGTCAAGTACAGCCCTCAACGAGTCGGTCTCCAACATATCATGAGCCACGAAGATGTCATACAGGTCATGAAAAAGTAAAACCTACAGGCCAGGGTCCTCAAACTCGACCCGACATCTTTTCTCGTCTTCATTTGTCGTGTGTCTTCCCCCCTCCCCGTTTCTTCAACAGTTGCATTTATTGGAGGGTATGTTTTGCTTTGCATAACTTTAATCTCAAAATAAGTCCGCTGACACTTCAGCATGTTATCATCAACTGAAAGGAAAGTCTAATGGAAATGGAAGAAGTGGCTGAAAAGGGGACAAATTGCGGAATAAAAATAGTTATCTCGGCTTCACGGTTTCTATAAATTCTAGCAATTGCTTTGTAAGATAAGATTTTTCTCTCTGCCCCTAGCCCGGATTGTTCATTTTGATACAAGTCGCACTTTTCATTTTAGTGTGGCTTGAAATGACAACTTTAATCACACGGTTGCAATTGGTCAGCGATGCTCTGCCAGACTGGAGTTTTCCTCTTTTGGGGTAGGGGTTGGATGAGGAAATGACCGGGCGGCAGCAAGCCTTTCTTGTCATTACCATTTCCCAGACAGAGCACAGACTGTATGGTAAAGGAGTTTCCAATCTTGAGTATTTTTAACTCATACTCAGATACCCAAACTCATCAAATGATTTCTAAAGTAAAAATTGACACATATCAGGCATAATCCCAACTGTGGAATGTAAATCGTGATGGCAGCGGATTGTGAGGTGATCAATAAATCCACGCGAATTCAACTACAATTCACTTCCATTTATTGTTTTATTTCGTACTTCATTTGTTCATTCAACAAGCTTATAGTACAATTTACATTGCTGCCAAACCAGGCAGTGTTTCAGAAAGGACAATTCCAACCAGTTCTGACGAAGGGATGCACACCACCAGTAAGAACTGACCCCAGTATACAGAATCTTTGAACCTGCAAAATCCCTTTATTTACCTTGATAAAAAAATATGGACAGGTGGAGAAATGCTTTAATGCACAATAATCCTGGATGGAAATTTACACATTTCTAAATGGAGATTAGAGTTTTTCATCCCAAATTTAAATGGATCTCTGACGTTGAACCATTTTTGTGTGGGAGATTGTGGAGATCACTTTAAAAGATATTTTTCTTTCATGAAAGCTTGAAATTCAATGTATTCAAAAGATAATTGAGCAGCGCGACATTTCCTTTTTTTCTGAATACCCCCATGCACCTGATCTAAGCTTTTGACACCACTGGCTAAACCAGAGAGTTTGACAGTCCACAAGGGGTCACAAATACGGGGAATCCAATTTACATGTATTTGCATGACTTCCATTTGTCTGCAGTGTGCGGGAAATGTGCAGCTTCCTTTTTTAATACACTTATCCGAGGAAAAACCCTCACTGCCGTAGCATGCCGAGTGCCTTTTTTAAAAACTTCTTCATGCATTTTGAGCAAGTCAAAACACCCAGCTGCTTCCAAATCATGAATTGTTAATGTGTAACTGTGTGAGCTCAATATCAAAGCAGCATTGGCTTTAAAATTGGCAATTCCACCGTAACGGCATCATATTTTGATACATATCGAAAGTATTGTTTTATGAAAACAGGAAAAGGAACTTCAATAGACTACTTCCAGCATCAATTTTAAGTTGCCTTTTGATTAGGAATGTTGAGGTTGGTAATGGAACCCCATTCAGTTACCAACCTCATTTATCATTCTTAAACAGCAGAGTAAAATTATCTTTGAATAACGAAATCAAAATCCAATTCAAGACTTGATGCTGAAAGTAGAAACCAGTAGTCCTTTTGCTACTTTACTAACTTAAAACGCTCATTACTTTAATGCATATCAAAATCTGTCAAAAGAAGTCAGTCCGTTAATGTGGAATTGCCCAATTCTAGTCATCTGATTAATGCATGCTAACCTGTTTTGAAATGTCTATTAATTGATCCACAGGAGAGTAAACCCACATTTACACGTACTTCTTTCTGAATTGTGTTTAGCAAAATAAATTCAACCAGCAAAAGAACGGATTAGTGTACATTTAAATGCACAAGCGAAAGTCCCAAGTCTGAAAGTATGCTATTCCATCTGAAATGTGTTTCCTGTGTGTGTGCAGTATGCATGAAGTAGCACTTGCATCACAATGACATTAGCCGTCCAAGACAGCATCTCTCATGGCGCGAAACGTCACCCTAAGGAATTGATCAAAGGTTAAGACTTCAGCTTTTTTTTTCAACAAGTGATGAATTTCTGACACGGACCCGGTCTATCACCAGTCAGTAATGAATACAATTGATTTCTACATGTAGGTAGTCTCACAAATCTGCACATTGCAAAATTTCAAGGGCTCCTACCTTAAGTATGGGGAGGGGGGGTGAATTGTGTATGTACACTGAGTACCTGGCATTTCAGGGAAGTTGCCAATTCAGTTCACAGAACTGGACCTTGAAATTATCCCTTGATACTTTCCAATCGTGACAATAAGGATTTTGCTTTTCTGACAAGAATGCCCTGAAAAGGAAAAAGGGCCTACTCATTTCGACAATAAACTCTTGGGACTTGGTTTTGATACAGTGTAATCTGGCTGAGCTACAAGTACGCACACAACCCAGGAAAAACTGGCTGCACGGCATGCATGGAAGTTCAAACAAAAAGTAACCAACGGACAACCAATCATTTTAGGACTAAAAGAATCAAACTGGGTCTTTAACCTTAATTCCTAAGGCATATTACGTGTAGACAGGAACCTGCCTGAATCCTATGGAATCCATCACTTCATAGAAACCAACGGCACACTCTTTGTACATCTTTTTCCGGGGGCATACATGTAAGGCCTAACAGACTAACAGTGGCTGTGCTATGCCTTGGCCAATCTTGTAAAATCCTCAAGAAATTTTGTAGTGGATGTTTAACATCTGGGAAAATAAGGACTCACTGACAGGCTGAAAGAATACTACAGTGCAACTTTGGGTTAGAATTATAACACATGCACATCTGTCCACAATTTGAGAGAACATCAGATACAAATAAGGAGTCCGTGCGATGAATTTTTCTCAGATGCACGGTTGTACAATTTCAATGCATGGAAAACACTTGAGAGTTGATACCTTTTTAGGGTTGTGTATTGATTAGGTGCTTTGCCGGACAACTAAGGGTGCTGTCGCTGTGATGTCATTCGGGGAAGCCACTGCTCAATATTTTTGACTTTTTCACATTTTTGGTGAAAAAGACATTCTTCGTGTCATTTTCTGTTGAATGTGTGGACCTAACATCCGCTCACTTCTGGATAAATCAGCCAAACAAATAGGAAATTAAGGCTAGCACAATACAAAAAATCCAAGCAGTCTTTGGTGCACAAACCAATGCAACATCAAGGTTTTTCTCAGGATGACATCACAGTCTTGCTCTTGCAAATTTGCACTAGCATAAAAGCCCAAAGGACACCAAAATACCATTTAAAATTGCAAAGGTGCAATTTTGCAGGTTTTTAGTGCAAAATCTGCAAAGCATGACCTCTTTAAACGGGACTTTTTTTTTCAGTTTGAAATACCATCACCATACACACATCTTTGAACACTGCTGTGTTGCCAGTGAGAGAGGTACTCTGCTTTGCCCACATAGGCATCCAGCCTCATTATCAAGCTTTAACCCTCCTATGTGGAAGTCACTCTTTGGGTCACTTGGTGAACACCTCAAAGAAGCACAGCTGTGTT